GGCACTAACATAACCACCAGTGAAACTGCACTTCAAGAGTCCAGGTCAGGTCTTAAGTGCAGTTACAAGGAGACTAACTCTTCACTGGGTTGACAAGTTCAGCTACTGACATACTTTTACAGCTGGGTTTCTCAAGTACTTCTTGCTTACTTTGTCAGCACTAGGAATTAAATTAGAGGGGTGGACTGTGCTGTTAAAGAATCCAACGCATTTAGCGGTTATGAGAGCCCTTGCAGTGAAATTGCATACAGCGCGGATTTTGAAGTTACCACTCGGGTTGATCATGTGCCACAGCTTCTATTTGTTTATGTGTTCCTAATTTCTGAAACCTGAATTTCAAGGAGTGTTAGTCTTATCCTATGGGCAGTATTTTTCATACTCAAATGAAAACAGTTCAAATGCTTTTTGGGGAAGGGGGAATGAAAAACAGTGAAAAATACGCCTTTTTCCTTACCAAATTTCTTTTCTAAATGAAACAATCATAGCTTGGAAGCTGAAGTTTGTGATGAGGACAGTCTTCTCTGGGAAAGTAAGCTCATTAGGTAGATGCAGTAAGGAAGAGGAAATCTCTGTAGGTATACAGCTTTGCAGTGAGCTAATAACAGATGCAAGTTTATCATTTTGACAAAGAAACCTTCAGTGTGCTTTTTTTTCCCATGCTACAGTGGTAGGGGATCTTGTTCCCAGCACAGTGCCACAGGTTGTATTCTGCTCCAGCTCTCTTGAGGCACAGAACCCAGGTTTCTCCCACCTGCAGCCCTGTGTGCCAGGAGCTGCAGTCTTGCATTAGGTTTATCTGAAGCTCAGCTCTGTGGTTGATAGTGGGGCTGCATCTGGCACTGTGGCTATACTGTGTAAATGGCCATGAGTTGAAAGACAGTACTTTTTCAAGTGTACAGTTTTTCAATTCAGGAAGGCACACCTGTTTGTGAGGATTCTTTAAGCACAGGCATTACTTTTTGTTCTTTTTTTTTTTTTTTTTTACTCCATCCCCTCAAGAAGAACAACTGACACAAAAAGAACCTCTCTACATAGAGAAAAGACTCTTTGGAGTAGTATCAATTGAAGGACATTCACTTTGAAAAGCAGAAGTGATGTAATGCTCTATCTGCATTATTAAGGTTTATACTTCTGCATTACTAATGAGCTGAGACAGACCTTTCTGCTGATGTGCCTATACCAGTTCCAGTTTCAAAGTTTGCCTCTTTGTTGTTACATGGTGAGCCTGTACAGCAGAGATCTCCTTCTCTGACTGCTGTGACAAAATCAGTCCATGACTTGGTGTTTTCAGACATAAAAGGCCAGAAAGTAATCTGGACCATACCCTAAGCCATCATTTGGATTCTGAAATTGGAATGAGTTCTCTTGACTGGCGTCTGAGCTTATTTGAAAATTCTCTTAAAATTAATGGGTTTTCTTTTCTTCTTTCTTTGGTTCTTGAAAGGGGCTTTCTTAGCATACGTGATTTTTTTCAGTGAGTAAGGGCATCCATATTTCACTTTTTGTGAGTACTTATTTGTGGTACTTTCTTCATCATTGATTTGCAGTTCTAGAAGTGAGAACAATGATATGATCAAGTACTTTGAAAATGATCGATGATTGATGTTGTAAATTCTATGTAGAAAATGGAAAAGACGCCAATAAATGTTGCACTTGTATTTTCTCCTACCCTTTCCTCTCTTCCCATAACTAATCCACTGCATGTGATTCTCATTAACCTTCTCCAGTTGACATCAGGTATTCAAGACAAATCAAGCCCTTACAGAGTTTGCTTGCTGCCAAGAAGCAGTTTGCAAAAGGCTAAAATGTTCTGAAATGTTTTCTAGTAACAAATGATTTTTTTCTTTACTTAATTTTTAGATTGAGTGAATGTGGCCCTTCCAAAAACGGTGAACTAGATCACCACCTCCAGACAGACACAGCAGGGTGAGGTGCCTTTACTTCATGGAATATTGCTGACGTGACTTCAGTCATGTCCAGTCGATAGCTTTGCTCTCACATTTTTCAGGCTGTGCATAAATTTAATGGCAAGCAGAAATCATGGGAAAAAAAACCAACCATCAAAACATGCTTACCTTTCTGTGATTTGTTTTTGAAGCATTTACTGAGAGCCAACACTTGCCCTCCTATTAACACTTCACTGATGTAGCTCATTTTCATACTCATCATTCCTATAATTTCAGTTCTTGGGCTTCTCGCAAGCAGAATTTCACCAGCAAGCCAGGTTCCTTTTCTTAAGGGATTCAGGGCTTTCCTTAAAGACAGGAGAGCTGACTTGTGCTAGCCATCTGGCTAAGAAGCCATCTCCTTTTCAACCTGCTGCTCATATGTACTTGTCTAAGTTATTCATCTTGAGATCGTGAATTTCTTAGATCGTGAACTGAAAGATATGATTAAGATGGCAGTGATTGGTATTCTGTGTTTAATGGGGCTTTCTGTAGGTTGTGCTTTGGGTTTGTCTCCAAACTGTAGCTGAAGCAGCTCTTTGCAGCAGGACTCTGTATGTAGGATGTTGTGTTAACTCCAGTTTTTTCACGGCAGTTTTTCAAGATGGCAGCAGACTCATGAGGCTCCATTTCCTTTAGTTGGTGGCTCGTAGTGTGTGCCAGCTATGCCTGCCTTAAGGAGAGGGACAGCTACATCTGCAAGCATTGTGCCCTGCTGCTCAGCTCAAATGGCAACATTACATGTTGCCTTCCCTTGTTTTCCTTTTCAATTAGAAGAACGTGCACAGAGCAGGAGGGACTTTGGGGTAATGCTGATCAACAGCTGTCAGGAGCGAGAAGGGGCTGCACTGTCACGTTTTCGTAGGAGAGGGCAAAATGCTTCCTCATTCTCTACGAGAAAAATGGTTATTTTGGACAAAATTTGCTGTGATTAAGTCCAAGCACCAATTTATTCCTATTTAGGTCATCAGAAAAGGGCTTCAGTGTGCAGTCTGTATTCTGGCTCTCTGTATGAGGATACATTTCACCCTCTGCTGAATGCTCTTTGTTTTCTCAGTTGAGGTCAGTTTTTCATTGCATTCATTAAAATAAATAGCTCTGGATTACAAATACCACTGCCCCTGTGCTTCTCAGCTGGCAAGCCAGCATTAGGGTCCTTAAGATTTTAGGAAAGGGGCTAAAATTGAAAGAGGGAGGAGAAGAAAAATGGAAGTTTGGAGGCTGAAGCTGTTAGCACCCATTTGATGGTTGTGCTCCTGCCTGGTTTGGATGGACTTGCAATTGCTTTGGCTGGATCGCTTCCCCTTTCCTCTGTGTGGCTTTCTAGGTGCTGATCAGAAGAGAGAAGGGATGTTATATAATGTAAAGATTGTGTAGGGAACAAGGAATGTGTTTCTCAGATGATTCATCTTGCCAGGACACTTTGAGAAAGGTTTCATGCCAGGTTGTGCTGTGCAGGTGTTGTCCTAGGAAAGCTGGGTGTGAAATCTTGTTCCTTTCAGTTCAGTGCTGAAGGTTTCATTCATTGTGCATGAGATTTGGTGATGCTTGATGTGCTCTCCCCTTTAATGCTGCCTGCTTCAGTGTAGCTCATTTTGACAGAGTTAAGACTAACAGTAACTGAGCTCATTTGTGTTTGTAGGATACACGTATGTATGAGCATGTTTGCACGGCGGCGTATCACACGATAGAGCGTGTTTCTTGCTAACATTTATGGGAAAGGAATGTGGAGGATTATATAACACCGAAGCCTGAAGAGCTGTTTTGTGTTTATGTTAAGTTTTGTTTTGGTTTGCTTTTTGTTTTACTCATGGGGGATCAAAAATAAAACTTTGGTGAGGAGTTGCCCCCAGACTGTGGGACGTTTGAAATCAGTGTTAGATTTGTGTCCAGAATTTATTCACAGCTCGCTCTTAATATGCAACAGTGAGGAAAATTGCTTTGACATTGAATGGGGCAAATTAGGAAAGTTCTGCTGTCATCTTTTTAAAATAAAATTTGAGCAAGTTTTGATTTGTTTCTTTAATGACTTGGTACATTGCGTGTGTCTGTATATACAGCTATATGGTTTGTTATTATGAGGTCAAATCCTGACAACTTACTGCAAAATAGTTTTAATTTATTATTAATATTTTCTGTTATTCTCACTTCTCCTGGTTTTGGAACCTTTATAATTAGATATAATTAAAACCACAGGTTTATAATTCCACTCTAGCATTTAAACTTGTATTTATGGCATAACCCCCGGAGTTTTATTGTCATTCCAACTGTATTTTGAAAAAAAAAAAAAAAAGGAAAAAAAAGTTTTCTGCGTTTATACAAATGCTTTGTCTGTAACTACCACTTCTTAATAATTTGTTTTGCACGGTAAAATGACATTTTGTTTTACATGATACAAAGCCTTACAGGTTTGAGAGTAGCTATTTCATATCCCTTAACAAATGAGTGCAAGGGACCTTTTGCCTCGTGCACTTTAAAAACAGCTTTCCTCTTTTGGAACTTGTCTTTCTGCTCCTCCATACAACAGTCTGAAGTGCTACATGCTGGAGAGCTGATTTTTAAAAAATGTTGGCTGGCATTATGTAAAGCCACATTTTCCCTTTTGGTGCGTATGTTCTGGTCCTAGCAGTGTCCTTGTTTTACAGAAATTAACATTTTTCCCTTCACAATCATTGATGTGTGGTGATGTTTTTCTGTCATCTTTAATTGTGATGCTTTTTTTTTTTCTTTTCCTTTTTACATTAGTATAAGGTTGATTGTTAAAATGAAGTGGCAGAAGGCTTCTTTCCAACTTATTCAAATATATATTTTTTTACTGTAGAAATATATTTTGCTGCTCTCAATTGCCTTTTTCCCCTTCTTCTTTTATTGTAAAATACTCTGGGAAGAGCTTCTTTTAACAAAAAAAAAAAGAAAAAAAAAGAAAAAAAAAAAAGGCTACGCTTGACTGATAATGCATTGCTTTGGATGGTGAAACATTATGAAAGTTTAATTTTTAATTAAATCTGAAATACCAATTATAACTGAAAGAGATTTTAACCTGTTTCTTTTCAGACTGCCTGAAGTTACATTGTAGATGCTGAAATCACTGCACCTTAAAAACAAAAAGATTAAGCTGCACTGCATTCTTGTAAGTAAAAGCTTTTCCGGCACCTTTTGTCAGTATTTTTCCTCAATATACATCCAAAGTGTTAGCACAGTAACTGCTCTTGGATAAAGGTCAAATTCCCCCTGAATAGGATTTAGAAGTTCAAAGGATGTTTCATTTGAAAATTAGAACTAAACTTGAATCTTTCAGATCTTTAATTTCAGACCCCTGAATAGATCTTTCTTTTTTGCTTTGATTGTTATTAGGAAGAGTGTGTGTCTGTTGACATACGGTTCCTACGGCTTTGTCAGTGAGGATTTCTGCACTTTGGAGTACAGAAAATAGAAAATGGTAGAAGGTTCCCCATAGCACAAAATATAGTTTATTCTCTTTTTTTGTTGTCGTAATAAATTTTTGTCCCTTATATAAGAAAAAGATGGAATATCTTTCTAATGACATCACAGGAGGCTTCAGCTGCTTTATGACATAGATGAAGGCAAAGATGCCTTATTCATCTGTGCTGCAATACAACAAAGCAGTCAAAATTATGTCTTGTGTCTCCCAGTAAGAAAGAAGCCTCTTTCAAGGGCACAGTTATTCCATAAATGCAAGGCAGATTGTACATCTACCCTTATTTAGAATGTGTTTACTGAATATGTTTGGGTAAATAATTAAGATTTGGAACTCCTGCGGATGGAGAACAAGCAAGTAAAAGATGACTGGGAAATGTTGTAGATTCAGCTACTCTGAATTTAACAAAATAATATATGAGTAAAAATCCAAGAGTTTGAAGATAGTAAGAAAGAGTTGATTTTTCAGTTCGACACTGCAAAGCTGTGGAGTATGACAAAGCAAAGTCAGTTTGTTTTCTTCTCTGAGATCAAAATGTACAGTCTGTAATGAAATCCAGCGTCTTTTCCCAAAGTAATACTTCTGTACTTCAATATTGAAATATTTTAACTATTCCATGGTTGTTTTTTTTTTAACTCTCTGTTCCCCAACTTTTTTTTTTTTTCTTCAAGTTGTATTTTAATGATTTAGTTTAAACTAGCTGAAGGGTACAGTACACTGTAAGCAGCTAATGCATGCCCCTTCTAGTGTGGAACACCAAGCATGACTCAGGCAGGCAGATTGTGCCATTCTGACTCGACTCCATTGTGTTTTTACATTACTGGCAAGGGCCATGCCATTGTGTTGCTTAAATATTTTGCATTAACTGCAGGCTGTGGCTAGTAAATTGTATTTAACATTTTCTCCTCATCATGGCATATCCAGCTTCCCTGGCCACGAGAAGTTAGCCTTGCGATTGAAATGGGACCTGAACTGAGAACACTGGTGGATTTGTTGGGTCTAGCAACAATTTAAAGGGAGGTATTAGGAGCAAGGGGGAAAGTTAGAGGATATTTGTGAATCTGGGAGTACTGAATATCAAAGTTGTCTTTCTATTTTCTGTGAATAACTAAGAGAAATTTTTTTGGAAACCAATAGTAACTCTCTTTCCAAAATGTAACAGCAGAGTGAGGACTGAATTAAAGCATGTTGTTTGAATCCTTAGAATTCAAATAGTCTGTAAGTCCTGCATGGAAAGCCCTAATGCAAAATGTCGGGTAGTGATATATGGACCTCATAGATGATGCTGGAATGGGCTTTTTTAGTTAGGGAAGAGATGGGAATCTAGGAGCAGGAATAAATACACAAGTGCAGAACTCACAAGCAGGGGAAAAAAAAAAGTAAATTAACATGTGTAGGGTGGCAAGCAAGTCAAGGCAGAAATACTGTACAGCTTGGTCCAGATCAGAGTAAATCAAGGGCTGAACTAGAAATGGAGCAGGGGATCATGACTGTAGCTCTTTTCTGTTCAGTTCTTCTTTACATTCCCTGAGGTAGAGATCTAAGCATCTAATCTTTGAATTTCTTGTTTCATTTGTTTTATTTCCCCAGTAATACCCCATCTGTAAACTCCTAGCTGCTCTTAAATTGTGTAGCTTTGTCATACAGCCTGTAATAGAGACAAATAAGTTGGGGAAACTTTCTATGCATGCAGATGTATGCTGTAAAATGAGACTGTGATTATTACTATACCTTCTGTTCATGTAACTATAGGGGCACCGTTGTTGTAGACAGTAATATGCTTTAAGAATTTATTTTCTTTCAGATATATGTTTACTGTTATCAGGTGTCTCTAATTGTGAGACCTTTAATGAAGTAGACTTTCAAGTATGACTTTCCTGTGTTAACCTGAAAACAGTAAAAAAAAAATAGAAATAAAAAAAGGCAAGCCATGCTTTGCTAGTTTTCTATTAGAGAACAGGATTGTTTTAATTGAAGAGTGGAACCTTGTTTTAGGTAGAAATATCCTTAAAATAAGTCATTAGTAGAAAAAGGGGCCAAATTTTCAGCTGTTATAAAATGACTTAAATGGCGCTACAGGAAAATACAGATTCACAACACGTGAACATCTGGCAGGCAGCTGCACAAGAACACAGCCTTGTAAATGTAGTGCAGGCATTCTCTTAATGGGAAAGGTCTGTGGGCTTGATTCTTTTTATGTTGGGTGGTCAGATCAGCTATGTACTAAAATTATGTGGATTAATAGGCAACTAGATCCACTGAGAACCACGGGTCTACTCAAATACTTAACTTTAAAGATGTGCTTAAGTACTTCAATATTTGCAATTAACCCAAAATAGGATTAAGTCCAGTAAGAAGAGTTAGTTACCTCTGCTGACGTTCAACATGTGTTTGATTTTAGAACTGGACAGTGGGGAAAGCATGTTGTCTGTGGAAGAAAATAAATTATACAAGAGATGCACTGGATGTGCTTTAAAAGTAAATGGTTTTAGTTATAGCTGTTTGATTTTAGGTGTCATGGGCTGAGGCCAACAGGAACATACAACACATTTAAATTAAAAAAAAAAAAAAAAAAAAAAAAGACATTTTTTTCAGTTTCAATCTTACATGGCTTTGTGGTCTGTTTAATGACCAAGACGTCTGGAGTTTGAATTTTGCTGGATGGTGGCTCATTGAGTGGCTCTGGACAGATCGTTTAACCTCTCTGCACCTTGTTTAGCAGATTAGTTTTTCAATCTGGTTATGACTTCAGTACTGATACAGCTCTGTGAACATTATTGAGTTTGTTTTTGCAGAGCTCTTAGAGGAGAAATAGTAACCATTGTTATCATTAATAAGTGTATTGTGTAGACAAAACATGAGGGACAGAGATACAGTCACTCACAGAGGTGATCTTTCACAACTCACTTGTGCTTTTGTTTAATTCCATCACTCAAAGTTATCAAGGCCAACTCCAATTTATAGAAGTATTTCTCATGTCACTCTTCCCACTGTTGAGTATTTTATTGTTTGTGTGTTCTCTCTCCATCTGTTTTTTTGCTTCATGCTGAATTAACCTTGCATACCAAACCTTATTCCCCCTTTTTTTTTTTGTATTATGCAGCAGAGACATTCACATAGCCTCAAAATTACAGAGAACAAATTCATTTTGTCTACTGATTGTTTGCTGATGATGTATGAAACAGACAGAAGACAGTTTGAATTTTCATAAGTTCAATTGAGCTTGCAGGCTTAAGGAAGGGAACAGGCAGAACCCAAGCCAATGTGACATAGTAAGCTGGCATCCCAGAGTATATGCAGCATGTATAGCGTCAGGATGTCAAGGCTATACAGGACTTCATCCATCTAAGCAGTGCTTTTGAATGAAGGAAGAATTTTGAAGCAACAAACAAGCTACCCCCCTGTGTTCTTCATAACACAGGGGTCCTCGTGTTTTCTGATGGATACGGGATCTTTCCTTTCCCTCCTATACCTTGCAGTTTTAACTAGAATTGTGTGTCTAATGTTAGTGTTGTTGAGCCTTGTACATTCGTGGTTGCTATTCCTCGGACAAGATTTGAACCCTGAATAGCTCACTAAGACCTTTTTGGATGCAGAAAGAGTAGCTGCGCTGGAGAAGATGTCTGAATGCGAAATAAATATATAAGTATGCTTCTTTGAAGAAAGATAAGTGTCTTGGGGCTGGCTGTCACTGAGGAATTGTGTTAGCACTAACAAAGAGAATTAATTTTGCCTTTTCTCCCCTCTTATACCAAGGCATTAATCCAGAAACTCATGGGGATAAATTCTGTCCTGATTTTTACCTGTGGAACCCCAATGGAAACAGAGAGAGGTCATAAATGTTTGTCAAAGCAAAAATTGTCCTAGTGTTAAAGTTGTTGAGAAAGTAGAAACTGGTTGATTGTTACCTGGTTTAGGGGCATGAGGGTACGTAGAAGCCCTACATGGCATCTTATGCTTCCAAAAATGTTGTTTTTATTGTATACGTTATGCAGGGGAAAAAAAAATCTAGTGAGTAAAAAGATATAACCAGGAGCACAGTGATTAATTGTTCTTCATGTCCTCTGGGAGAAAGACCTGAAGAAATCAGTTCAATGAGCAGTGAAAATTACCAAGGTACATATTAAGAACCATGTTCTGCCTGTGTAGGCAGTAAAACTGTGGAATACCCTGCCTCTAGGTACTGTGGAAACTGGGGAAGTTTATTTTTTTGAAGAATGGCTTGGAAAACCACCTCAAGAGTAGGCTGAGGTGGACTGGAGTAGGTGAGGATAAGATTGGACTAGATGAGTTTTGTTTTATTCCCTTGCATTTCTCTAATTCAGCATACCATTTGGAAATGTTGGTATGTGGCGAGTACGTTCCTGATTAATAAAACTTAATGTTTGCAAAAATCCCCAGGGTTCTCATTTTTCCATCCTCTCATAACTAAAACCATACTGTCTCTTCAAAGATTTCAGTTGGACTGCCAGCATTTTGTTTTGACCCTTCTTTTTTTAGAGAAAAGACAGGGGAGGGAGTCATACACGCACCAAAGGGCAGATGTTTGGTTGCTGTGCATCTGTATGGTTTCTTGACAGCCAGTGTACTAATCCTGATTAGATTCAGTTCCTGTTTTTGAAAAATTGGATGAATGGAAACAGTCCAGGTATAGTCTGGTACAAAGGCCCGTGACAAAGATTATGGAGATA